TTATTAGATGTAAAAAAAAATTCTGATATTTTCAAATTTAATGAGAACTTTATAACTTGATCAAATTTCCCCATGTCGAAACTATGAAGCAATTCCATCACCAGCAGTAAGCTGAAGCAACACTGTTAAATTGCAAGGGAAAAAATGGAGCAAACAGAGAACTAATGAAACCCAAAAAAAGAAACTAAAATTGAATACTTTATTACGTTGATTGGAGTAATTATCAATTGTTTTGATGGAAATGACGAGTTCTTGATCCACTCTTGAGTTTCCTAAGTTCTTGGTATAGAGGTTCAGTATCCTTGCATGATGCAACGCCATTGGTGTGGGGCACTCAATGGTGGATGGAAAGTTTGGTGGCCAATCTTCTGGGGCACCAATGTTACTAGCGATGTAGACCGCTGCGTATCTGTGTTGGGGATTGGCATCGCTGATGATAAGACAGAGTCCCTTGGAGCAACAGAAGGTTGAAAGCAATGGCTTTGCTAAGCCTGCTGAAATCCTGCCCAAGAAACAGCTACAAGTCCTAAGTCTGAATTCAAAAGGGGCTCGGAGTGTGATGGTGGCTGGATGGAGATGATGAGAGGCGCCGTCGATCTGGGCCATTCTTTTCGCAGCTTTCTTGGTCTTTTCTTTGATGAAAATGAAGAAAGATCTGTGTCACAGAAGTGAGAGAGGTTCACTTTTCGTCTTTTTTTTTTTTAATAAATTGTTGTGTTTAGGTCTATTTCTTTCTTTACCCCTATTTTTCTATTTAATAATTTTTTAATTTATAATTCAATACTATTCAAATTATATTACAAAATAAAAATAATTAGATAAAAGTGAAGGACATCAAATACAAAAATAATTTATTTTTTATCAAACAATTCTTATTGTATAATCTGAATTATACAACAATTCTTCCTTTATTTAATATATATGATCTTAGGCACCCATAGTGATCCAATGAAAGGCAGCTATTTACCTCCTGTCAACAAGGATAGACCTTGTAAATGCAAAATCCTATTACTTATTAAACCTTAATGACAAATTATATTACAAGAGATTACTTCTACCAGAACTCACTTGAACCAATAACTTAAACAGAACGAAAAAAAAAAAAAAAGAAAGGAAAAAAGGAAGAAGCTTCCTTTACTCAAAGTAATTAACCTTATGCAAACAAGTATGCCACCTAAAATTAAGATCCCATATGCCAAATATCAAAAGTCACAGTTTCAAATGCTTTCTTCAGATTAAAGATCAATTCGGTCCCAAAAGGGCATTATAAGAGCAAAATCAAACTAATGAAGTCAGCCTTGGAAGCATCACCATTAGCTGGTGAATATTAGTGTGTGTATTTGAACTCTTCCTTTTAAGCAAAGGAACAATCTTCTCGAGGTAAGTGGTTCTGAAGCGATGGGGCTTGCCTGCTTCAGACTTGTCCACCAACCAACCACCCGTAGCCGTCACCGAGACGACGCTATCGTTTCCGTTCCTGGAGTTTCGTCACGGCAATTGTACAGAAGACGGTGACGAGAGAATGTGGAAGTGGCAGTAAAACAATGACGCTGCGGAGTGTAGAATCGATGAAAAATACGCCATGAGATGGGTTCTGTACTCTGTTCTCAGCCGAGTAGAGCAGCAGCACTGACAATGTTCTGTGCGAAAAGGTCCGCTTGCTAAGAAAATGGCATCAGAGTTGTCATTGTTTACGTGCATACCACAATACGAAAATCGGTAATTTCCTTAAATTTCGAGGGTGGTTGTTAAAAAGAATTTTTTAATGTGTGCTCGATTAATCATATTTTTTTTAATCATAAATATATTTAAAAAAAGTAAAAATTGATATTAATTTTAATGTTAATGTTAAATAAATAAATTTAATTAAATAATTAATAAATTAAGATTAATTTTTATTTTTTAAATATAAATTTATAATAAAAAATATATATTTATTATACTTCCAAAAACATATGTTAAAAAAACCTAGTAAATGTTGCGTGCATCTATCATGTAAGTTACACAAATTCAAAAAAAAAAAAGAGATATATATATCTATATATTAAGTGTAGTATTTTACTGTTTCGCGTATGTTAATAGTAAAATTGAAAAACATTAGTTTTTAGGTTAAAGGAACCTTACTCATTATCAGGTTCTACAATTTAAATTGTAATTTTTCAAAATTTATTTATTTTGTAAGTTCTTTAAACTTTGATGAATTTTTTGTTTTACAACTTAAATAATAAAATGAAAATTATTAAATGGTTAGAGACATTCTCTAATATCAAGAAATTATCCTTATTTATTAATATAACTTATACAATTGAATATAATTCAAACTGCCTATCACTTATCTAAGTTTTAATTAAGGTTAATTTTAATTGGAATTTTTCTATAAAGCACAGGTGAAGGGTGTAAGAGTGCAATAAATACATTATTTTATAATTATTAAT